CGCTAGAGGATCCAACAGCACAGGGAACTAAGGTTTGAGATTGGCCTCCACCGCAGCCAGAGTCTACTTGAGAGAGTTCCTGATTCCCACTCTACTTGTGATCTGTATTTGTTGCTATTTATGATAGTGTGCAAATGTGGCCTGTGCACAACTTAAGTACGGGGTGAGGGTGTCAGATTTTTTGTGATTGGCATGTACTTTAACTGATATACTTGATCTATGCATTACATGCTTTTTGTCATAATTATGGTGATCATGACTTGAGGCCACTGTAATTGTACCACATTAGCATAGTTTTTTTTTGGCTTAATTTGATTTTTTTAAAACTACGATTCTTTCTCGAGTATGTCAAATTTCTTTTGAACCGGATATTTTTGGGTGATTTTTTAAAAGTTTCAAAAATTTGGGATTTTTTCTATCGACGGACTTCCTAAATAGATTTCTGAGGGTTTTATATCTAAAGAAAAAACACACAAAAAAAAATTCTCTTTCTTTTTAGAACTTACAAGTAGAATGGAAGAACTTAAGTATCTGTGCTATCTGACTTATTCTATGTTGGGGTTTAGGGTTGAGCAGGTGAGAATCACTTTTTCATGTTTTTTCAGCAATATGCCTTGAGAATATGTATGGTTTCTTTCTGATACTTAGTCTTGTTTCTCGACTCCTGTGATTACTTCCTATGTGTTTGAATTATATGGACTATGCCAATTTTTCTTTAACTTAGGAGTCGGGTCTGAGCTGTCTTGAGCGAGTCATGTGCAATGTGTATTGACAAGTGTTAGAATATATCATTCGCCATCTTTTGCTAGTCTAGAACTTGCCTCGTATGTGAGTCGAAGCGATATGACTAAGTTTGCGAGTCTAGGAGATGATAAAAGCATTTCTTTGATTGAACATTGAGCTATTATACCTACCAGTGATAAAATTATTCTTAATTAGTCCACTTGAATAATATAAACCTTTTTTTTGGCATCCACATTATAAGTTGAATATCCTTTTGTTCTAGATTGAATCTTGCTGAACCATTACCTCTAAGGGCACTTAAATCTCTAGAAGAGTAACAAAGAAGATCGAGGTAGCTTTTGAGTGGAACCATAGAAAGGTCGAAAGGTGCACTTGCATTATAAAATATCCACTAGCAGGAGATACCAAAAATGGGGTATGGAAAAAATAAGAAAAAAAAAGACGAAAAAAACAGAAGAAGATGCAAAAACACACAAAAAAAAAAAATTAAAAATACATCCCCTATCTACCTTGATCCGGGCTAGTGAACAACCTATGTATTTATGTCCTTAAAGAAAGAAGGCCTATTTGTGTCATAGTTTCTTGGCAAATAATTGATTTGGTTGTGAAGAGTAAGTATGTGAAAGTGAATTGTGCTATATCAAAAGTGCTTAGGAGGGTTAATCACTATTATCTATGTCTATTCTACTCATCTCGTAGCCTACATTATAATTCTTAAAGACATACTTGATCCTAGACTTTTACGAGCTTAAATTAATCGAGTCTTACCTACGGTCAAGCCTATGGTACGACCTTGAATGGAATGAGAAGTTCTTTATGAGAGTGAACGAATTCTTTTGATATATTAGTCCTTAAATTACATTTGAATGCATTTTTTAAGTACGTGGACTAGTCTCTTTCTTTGTCTGTTGGTAAGGGCACATAATTTGCGATGAATTGGTAAGGTCCTTGATTCTTGAGTTGGTATAAGAAGCGAGTCATAGAATAGAATGTATGGAGTCAATTTCTGAGGCTAGTATATTAAAAGAAGTCACTTAAATGTTTTAAAAATCTTGGCCTATAAAGCCTTGAAAAAGAGTGTCAATAGTGCATATGTTGGATCCTAAGCTTTGATATAAGCCTTTATCAAGTATGATACTTGAGTATATTTTGAAAGTATATCTTGCCATTGTGTTGAATTATTAAGTTGCTCGAGGATGAGCAAGAGCTTGAGTGTAGGGTGATAATAATTGGCAAAAAGTACATATTTTTAGGTGTGTTTATATCCCATATATTATATCATTCGATAAAGATCGCATGGTTATTAGTTTGATTTATACTCATTACGTGTTTCATGTGTCTAAGTGCGAGTTTGGATGAAAGTTGATCAAAAGAAGGCAATTTAGAGTGAAACAGGATGCTAGAAAACAAGAAAGAAAAGTTGAAGGCAGCTCGCCTGAAGGCCGTGCGTCGTGGGAGAAGCGGATGAGCCTGAGGAGTGATTCTTCACTCAAAACAGCGAGTCGGCACCATCGTGCGGGCCAGCATGCGAACAAAAAGAAGGAAAAAAACAATTGGAAGCTCGTCTGGATGGTGCATGTCGTGTGAGGGCCAAACGCGATACCAATTATTCCCGTCTTAGATGGGACTAATTAACTTGGACGTCTTTCTAACCACCTTATGTCATATAAATACTCCATGTAACATCTTTTGATGAAGGGGGTTATACATCTTTGGAGGCATGAAACGTGCAAAGAGCAGAAGAACATGGATTCAACAACGTGTTCATATTTTTCTTTCATTCTTTGTTGTTCGTTTATGAATTTTATCTATTTTTGTCAACACCACTATGAGTGACTAATTACTTTAGTTTTGACGTTGTGGTTGACATGATTATTGACGTTTGGTAATTGCTACTTTGTTGATACGAATTATCATTATTGGTTGTTGCTTGAATTTTAGATTTAATTTTTGAATTGTGTATCTATTAATTAACCTACTATCTATGCTATGCTTGGACAACCTATGTTTATATTATTAGAGTAGGATTAAAGAGAGTTACTTCTGAACTCGTGTCTCGGGGAAATATTTCGCGGTTAGGATAGGGATATACCTAACAATCTCGCTCAGTTGAATTTCATGTTATATTCATTCATAATATGTTCAATACCACATGGATATAGGATTTATATATTATGGATAGGCGGGTAGTATTGAGGAGTATGCTATTCACATAAACGATTCGGTTAACTAGCAACCGTAGATAATTCGAATTAATAGGTGAAATTATGAACTCAATAGGATTGATAACGCAACGACAAACCTGAATCTTCATCTCAATTGGATAAGACAAAATCATAAACATTGGCATTCTTGTAAGTTTAGTTAATTAGTTGTTCAATTTCTGCAATATTAGTTTAGTCACAACCACTATTTTTTTGATAACCTCGAGTAGAGAATAAAATTTTATTTGCTTAGGTAGCAAGTAACATAAGGCTCTATGAGTTCCACATCCGATTTTCGAGTCACGTTACTACTTGTGAACTACGTGTACTTGTGTGTGCTATGGGATCTAACGATACGTACCTCAAACTTGAATGACTTTTGCTTAAGAGGCAAAAATGTGAACCTAGGATAGGAGAAAATTAATTTTAAAAAAAAAAGGTGGTTTGCACCGTAATACTTATTTTTGAATTTATTTTGGCAGGTTAAATGCTACACTAAATAAAAACAAGAACTATAAGTAACTGGTAAGTTGTACCTCGTTTTTTTTGAGCAAAAACTTCGTAAAAATTGTACGGGGTGCCCTATTTAGTCGTCCTCACTTAACATGTACCCACATTTAAATATTTCTTAACTAGTACCCAAAGTTTAGATAACTTTAGATCTTTTTCTCGTCTTCCTCCCTTTTCTTCATCATCATCATCATCTACTTCTTATTCTTCTTCTTTGCTGTGAAAATAAAGGTGATAGTGAATTCATATGGTATTTGTGAGTATATTTTAAGGTAGTCTATGGTATCTTACAATGGTGAGCTGTTGTGACGCTTTATTTTTTACTACTGCTTAGGGATTCTTCTTCATGGGTTAATTAGATTTATGTTATTTTGACAAATTGATGATTGTGGTTTGTTCTTGATGATATTTGGAGGTTATGTTTTAAATTTGAGCTCTTTTGGAGTAGATTTAGGTGTTAAATCGTGTATTGGATTGTTGAAATTCGAAGAAACAAGTTTCAGACCTACGTGGCCTTAAGTACATAAAAACATTAGGTGCACTTCAGACTAATTTGGCCTTAAGTGCATCTGAAGTGTAATTTTTTTACTTTAGGCCTATTTGGCCTTAAGTGCATTTGAAGTGTAATTTTTTCACTTCAAACTTATTTGACCTTAAGTGCATGAAAACATTGGTTGTACTTTAAACCTATTTGGCCTTAAATGCATCTTAAGTGCAATTTTTGCACTTTACACTTAATTGGCCTTAAGTGCATTACATTTTAGACTAATTTTTTTTTTTTAACTTCAGACCCGATAAGTCTGAAGTTAATCCTAAAGTGGGTAGGCTTGCAAAGTTTTGTACAAAGCGGGTATAGTTTCAATTGTGACCCCAAAACTGAGTATTATTTTGCTAGTTATTTTGCTAAGAACTGTAGCTATTGTTTTTTCTGAACCAATTTTGACTAATAATTTTGTTTAAATTGGTTGTAGTTGGAGCTGTATTTCACATTGATATTCTTCTCATTAGGTATAGAACTAATCATGATGCTGGAGACTAAGTGCAGAAGTCCAATGATTGAAATCAGTTGTAGTAGTTATGTAGGATTTTACTCTCTCGTCGATCCCAACTTGTTTGGGGATTGAGGTGTAATTATTGTTGTGTAATACTCGTTCATTCATGCTCAATTGCTCACAAAAAGTAGGCACATTTATAAAAACTGGTTCTCATAGAATGTAAGCAAACTAAGGCGAATGAAGAAAATCAGAAACCACTTGAAATTATCATTTACCTTTCCTTCGATAATTAATATTTGCTTGTGTTTTGCATGGATGATTAAAACGAAAGTTGACAGTACTTAAAAGCATAGTGACAACCCCAAAACTTGTACGTAATAAAGTAGTGTTTATTTATTACAGATAAAGTTGCAGCTGCAGGGATATTAGATATTTACATAACTCCCATCTTCTTAAACTAGTACTAGTATATCATTCAGAGGGGAAGCTCCTTTAAGTGAACTGAAGAGACATACGGTTTCGAAGACCAAGTCAGAGAATATATAGTTCAAAATGGTTGGATATTAGAAGCTCCTGACTGCATGCAATTGCAATGGTTATCATTGAGATTCCACTGATAATGACAACCCAGTTGAGGATTTTCTGTATTATGTATTCCTTGGAACTGAAATCCCTGGACATGAGCAGTACTATTGGATGATCCAATATGTCCAGAATAAGAGTCCATGGAACTGACTTCTGAGGCTGAAGAACCTTTGCCTTTACTACTTGGAGTTGCATTAGTATTCCCATTATTATTATTATTATTAGTAGTAAGTTGGATCTTCTTCTTTGTGTTGAGAAATCGGCCGCCACCATCTCTAGCTCTTCTCATCGCATGCCGGTGCCGAGATTCATGAAGATAAGGCTGATATGCATTTGAAGAAATAACATCATTTAACTCACCTTTTACTAGATATCTCCAAATGTTGAACTAGCTATAAAGATGCAGAAATTTTGTATCTCATGAGTAGTTGGTCAAATTCATTTAGGGCCGTCTTTCTTTGTTCAGCTGATTCCATTACTGTCAACTCAAACAATGCATACTTATGCAAAAACAAAATTGAATCAAATCAAGGAAAATATTTGCTCTACTTCTTTCGAGTCTTAAATCACATCAAGAATAAAATTACNCTTCGCCTTAGAATTCCATGGTATTGTTTGGCATTTACATACATAGGCTCCTCCTTCACTTCAAGTGGCAAAATCATTCTACCATTATGCACTGATCTTTCTATATTTTGATGTACCTTATATAAAGGTTTATAAAGAAGTTAGAAAGCCCATAACGAAGAAAGCACGAATTATATATATATCGACAGACCTAAAAGCAAACCAAGAAAAAATTATCAGTACGTGGCTTATTATCTAGGAATAGTCGTCTAATTCAAGATGGTTCCAAAAGTCCTCTGCCTACCCCAGTTTATAGTAGTATTCTTTGACAAAGATGTAGAAGTAAATTTATCAAAATCCTTTGACAAAATATCGACTAGTATCAAAATAATACAGCAGTAGATACACATAGATCCTTAAAAATATTGAGTAACGTACCATTTGTGTTAACAAAAATTAGTTCCATGTAGAATAACTTACCTGACCCAGTTATCCTGAGTTTCCATGATCATCAGTTTGGTTTTAACGATTTTCTCTAACATTTCCTCTATATATGTTCTTCATTTACCCTGGGAGATACACGAGCAGTGTCAAGTTCACGTTAGATGCTACATAAAGATCTCTTCCAATTTCCTCTCTAACTAGGATGAAGATTGTTTGACTAATTGATGCCCGAGATCAGTTGCTGGCGTCTTACAAACCAATTGTGGACTTAATTACCTTTTTTCTTAAGTACCTTCTCTAACACAAAGAAGGAAATTTGACTCGCTTGGACCCAGAATTTCAAGTTGACGGGGCACCACTAAAGGTCAATATTATTCAAGAAAGTTTTTAGCATTGAACTCCTTGTATTTTTAAACTTATGAATTCAAATTTAATATTCATTAAAATTGTACTAATGAATCTTTACATATATTTTATACTCCCCGTGGGTTCGAATGAATCCGTCCGAAGGGCTAAATCCGCTCATGTAATCCTATCAGTCATCTGTAACAAAAAATTAGAGGATTGTTATTGGAATCATAGGAACCAACTTTAGATTAAACGTGCTGGCAATGAGTTAAAGAGAATTAATACGGGAGTATCATTTACCTTTATTATTTTTAGCAAGACAAAAATTTACCATATCAACTTCTTGAGAATTTCGCAGTAGAGATCAGTGAGTCAGGGGCAAAGCTTTCTGTTTTTAGTTGGGGAAAGAGAATTGGATTTGAGATTTTGAGGGATGGACTTGTTTATAAGATAGGTGTTGAGTATTGAATTTTTGATGATTAACAAAATATGACTAATTACTCAAAGAACCAGGTCCTCAATGTAGTTGTTTAACTGTTGTGAAGAACCAGCTTCTCACGTTAAAGGATCTAACTCCTCATAATTGATACTTGTACGTTTGTACAAGACAGTGTAACTTTATCTCAAAGTTACCAGGTCCGAATTTGGTGGAAGATGGTTGTTGTAAGTGATAAAGGTCGTTGCTCAAGAAGATATGGATAAGTCCGTCAGAGACAAAAGTCCCAAAGATTGTGGAATCCTTGGAACAGTAGAAACCCTATCAAAGAGGAAACTGACTATGAATAGGACTCCTAGAAGATCTCAAGTCGTGTTTAAATAGGATTGAGTTTGGACTTGGCAACCATCCTTTCACACATCAACAACAGAGTCATAAAGTGGTTCACTTGTGTTGAGTACTTGTCTTGTACTCTTCCCGAGTTAGCCTTGTAAATGTGTTTTAGGAAATTGAGTTGTAATCAGGTGTTATAAACAATTAGTTAGTTGGAATGAGTGTGGTTTTACAAGTTAGAGTTACTCGTGAATCAAATAGGAGTAATAGGACTACTGGAGATTATTTAATTATAGCATTGTAATTGATACATTTTGAATTATTGTTCTAGTGGAGTTGGAGATGAAAATCCTACTTGGTAGGTCGTAGTTTTTGCACCTTTGAGCCGGGAGATTTTCCACGTTAAAATCATCGTGTTCATTTTATTGCTTATTTACTTTTCGCTTAAGGAACACAGTAAAGAACCAATTTCTTAGTAATTTATATGGGCACTCAAATTAACAATTGGTATCAGAGCAGGTTCTCTCATTTACACGACTAACACCTAGAGAGATTTTGGAAGAAAGATGAGTGTTCCACCTGGAATTAACGAAGGACAATCAACTACTAGACCACCCTTGTTCAATGGAAAATATTACAGTTGGTGGAAAACAAGAATGGAAGATTTCTTGACAGCTGAAGACTATGAACTATGGACCATAATAAACCAAGATCCTTTGATTCCTTCTAAACAAAATGCACAGAGTAAAACAGTTCTTAAGGATCCCCTCCGAATTTGTGATAGCAGATTTCAGAATGATGGAGAAGAATACAAAGGCTAAGAAAATTCTTATATGTGGACTTGGTCCTGATGAGTACAATAGAATTTTTGTGTGCTCTAATGCGAAGCAGATTTGGTATGCACTCCAAACTACTCATGAAGGAACAAATCAAGTTAAGAGATCAAGAATTGAACTACTCATGAGAAACTATGAGTTTTTCTCCATGAAGGAGTCTGAGCCCATCCATGATATGATGACTAGGTTCACTATAATAACCAATGAACTGAAATCACTTGGAAAGGTGTTTACCTCAGAAGAGTTGGTTAGCAAAGTCCTAAGTATCCTTCCAGCTTCATGGGAATCAAAAGTCAGTGCAATCCAGGTAGTCAAGGAATTGGATAAAATCTCACTTGATGAGTTGATTGGAAACTTAAAAACTCATGAAATGAGAAAGATGGAACTGAGTAAAGAAGAACCAAAGAAGGATAAGGCCTTGGTCCTTAAGGCATCCGAGGATGATGAATTTGACTACGATGATCCTTATCTAGCAATGTTTTCCAAGTTCAAGAAGTTCATGAAGAATTCCAAAAGTGCATCCAAAAGAGAGACCAGTAGTAAACACAAGCAGAATGACAAAGCTAACTATGATGGGTAATACAAGTGTGGCAAGCTAGATCACATGGTAAAGGACTGCCCAATGTGGAAAATCGAGCCGAGGAAAGAACGAGCTGAAAAAGAAAAACGGAAAAAGATGAAAGAGAAGGGTTCCAATAAAGGAAAAATCCTAGACAAAGAATTTACTAAAGCTATGAAGCAGGCATCCTTGGTAGCATTTGAGGATAGTGGGAGTGATCAAGAGAAAGAAAGGAGGATGAGGCTATTAGTCTCTACGCTGTGATTGATAAACATCAAGTTGTGAAGACAGAACCCCCAGTATAACTTGGGATGCACATTGGAAGACCTCCTCTGTTTGATAAACTCCACTATGATGAATGGAATCTACGTATGAAAATATTTCTTCAGGCTACTAACTTTGATCTATGGGTAATCTTCAGTCATGGACCAATTCTCCCAACCAAATTGGATGATGAAGGTAACAAGTGCAACAAAAGAGAATAGGAATACGATGAGGAAGATCGTCAGCTAGTTCAGAAAAATGCCAAAGCAAAGGACTTGCTCTACAGAAGTTTGTCTAGAAACACTCTCTTCAGAGTGTCCTCTTGCATCTATGCTCATGATATATGGAGGACATTGGAAACTGACTTTGAAAATGAAAATATCGAAGTGGCTCTGGTGGCGATTGAAGAATCAAAAATAGAGGAAGAAGTGATAGGAATGATGGCCATGAGTGATTCAGAAACTGAAGATGAAACAAACCAGGTAAGTATATCTGACTTGAAAGAAAATATTCATGCTATGTACAAAAAGCAACTGATGGACATAATTGTGACCTTAATGAATGAAATTGATAAAATGAGTAATGGAAATGATGTGCTAATCAGTAATCTTTCTTTTGTCAAACTTAACATCAAAGAGCTTGAATCCGACAAAGCTAGTTTAGAGAAACAGTAAGAACCAGGTTCTTGAATTAACTTCTGAGAATGAGAAGTCTCATGATACATATGGCAAAGACAAAATGAGTGATCTGCAAGATAAGCTTGAAAAGGAATTAAAAATTGCTAATGAAAATTTTTGTATGTAGAAATAAAGTCCTGCATGAGAACCTAGAAAAGGCTAATTATGAAGTCTCTAGACCAAGCAAATGGCATAGATCTTCTGATGCCTTGAATTGGCTAAATAAAAACTGTAGCATTAACAAATCTGGAATTGGCTACATAAAACCTGTCCCTAAGTTTGACCCAAAGTATGTAGGAATTTATGATAATAAAATGTTCACTCATTGTGGAAGAGTAGGATATTTTAGAGACATTTGTCCTGCCTTAATTCATGCTCAGTTTAGAAACACCTTTGGTATTGCTAAAAATGTGAAAAAGGAAGAGGATCCAAAGGTTAATTCTCCTGTCCATACTAAGTGGATTAAGGTTAACAAGAAAGTAGCTTCTAAGCCTCCTCCCTTCTAGGAAAGAAGGGATCTGATTCATCCTTTTTCAAACAAAAAAGGACCTAAGCTAGTCTGGGTTTCCAAAACTAACTTGTGAATTTTGGTGCAGGCTAATGGTAGAGAAAATAATCAGGACTGGTATATAGACAATGGATGCTCAAGACATATGACTGGAGAAAAGAAAAACTTTCTCTCTCTGACAGCCTTCCAAGGAGGGAATATGTCATTTGGTAATGGGAAAAAGGGTCAGATAACAGGTATTGATAAGATTGGAAAGTCACTCTCTTATGCTATAGAAGATGTGTATTATGTGGTAGGTATTAAACACAATCTTCTTAGCATCTCTCAAATGTGCGACAAAGGAAATGAGGTAAAATTCAATTCCAAAATCTGCACTATCACTAAGCTTGATACTGATGAAATTGTGATAAAGGGAAAAAGGCATAACAATGTTTACAAGATATCGTTTATGTCACTTCCCCAGAGTGAGCACACATGCTTGAGTGTAGTGGAAGATGATCCACTACTATGGCATAGAAGACTGGGACATGCCACTCTCTCTCAACTCAATAAGTTGGCAGCTAAGAACTTGGTCCTTGGGCTACCTAAAGTTCAATTCACCTCTGACAAAGTATGTGATGCCTGTATTAGAGGGAAACATGTTAGGTCATCCTCTAAATCTAAGAAGTTTGTAAGCACTTCTAAACATCTGGAACTCATTCACATAGATCTATGTGGACCAATGAGAATAAG